TGCTGTATCTTCTACTTTAGAGAAAAGTATTTTCTAAATCACCAATAATTTAATACAGGAAAAAAAGCTTCTCTGGCGAAACTTCATATTTACAGGATGCATTTAAGTTTTAAGTACAACATTCAATTCACAGTTGTACTATCAGCAAATAGTCTCCAAATAATCACAGCACACACAAAACAGTGCTATGTTAGCTACTTATGTAAGTACTAATACGAATCACTCTGGTTTGCTTGGGACTTTCCCAACTTTAGCACTGTAGGTTCCACATCCTGGAAACCCTTCTGTCCCAGGTAAACCCAGACAACTAATGTCAGCGAGACACTGGGGGGCGGGAGGTGGGGGAGATTTACAGTTCTGCACTGGAGAAGAAGAAATTTGGAGTCATATCTGGTAACTCCTTGCTAGGGCTGCCAGATTAGCTGTGCCCAGTCACATATAAGTAGGTCTAGCAATCTGGAACATGGATTCAAATCTTTATTTTTATTTTATTTTTTTTCACACACACATACACACTTTATTTATTTATTTACATTGACATATAGTTGACTTATAGTGTTGTGTTAGTTTCAGGTGCACAGCAAAGTGATTCAGATATACATATACATATATATGTTCTTTTTCAGATTCTTTTCCATTATATGTGATTACAAGATATTGAATATAGCTCCCTGTGCTATACAGTAGGCCCTTGTATTTATCTGTTTTATATATAGTAGTGTGTATATGTTAATCCCAAACTCCTAATATAAGCCCTTAAATTATCAAGGATGAACAAAAAGGAGGCTGTGATTATTTCAATAGAAAACTCGAGTAAATCTGACCTTGCTTAATACTGTTTGGCATTGATCATTCAATTAATCTCAGTAAACTTAGTAAACATGGCTATTCCATGCCAGGCACTGAAGACAGAGCAGTGAACAAGACAGTTTCGTCACTGATGTCACTCCCAGTCTCAAGGGAAGATAAGAAGATAAAGAAAAATATTCCAGTGATGTTGGTGTAATTTGGTAAAGGATATTCAGTCTCATTTGTTAAATATTTGTCGAACATCAAATCTTTAAAAACAGCCTGCAAGACCCAAACCTACCAACTAATACCCATTAACAAGGAGTCACATGTGAACACAGGCTGCTGCTTGAAGAAACTTCGTATATTACCCAGCCCCTAGTGCACACATATCTCTAATTCACAGCCAGAATTCGCCCTAGAAAAACAATCCCATTGCAGGGGAGGAGATATTTGACAAGTCCTACGAGTCAGGAACTCAGTACCAAGTCAGACTCATTGCTGTCTAACTCTCACCTTACAAGCCATTCCTAGTAACTGGACTCTCCTGTTTCTAGGGGTCTAACCTCTCTCTTGAAATCTATTTCAGGAAACCAGATCCTTTGCCTTTGTTACCATGTGAAATAACAAAGTTTCTCTAGGACTAGAGCACTGTGAGGCTTCTGCCTATTTCCTTAGGGTCTAAGATCACCATTTTGCCAACATGCTGAAATGCGCATCTTCCACTCATTGTTTGATCTCTCAGTTGCCAAATACCACCTTTTATTTATTGCCTGTTTCCATACTCCAGTAATATTCCATCTGCCTGTCCACATTTCTTCCTAAAACCCACTACAGGGAACTTTCAGATCACCTGAAGTATTTTAGCAGATTTGATTAGACACTAAACTCTAAGAATCTACCCTCCCAAGCACACAGCCTACCCAAACTGAACTCTAGGACTAACACCTAGAATATATTTCTAAATGGTTCTGAACTCCTGGAAAGAAAACTGAAGGAATTCTGGGCTTGAATGACTTTAAATCTCTTTTTCCAAATAAAAGTTGTTACTTCTGAAGATAAATGAGGTGATGGGAAACGAACATCTTGACTAGAAAAAAGGTGCTGAGAACAGAAACTGAATTTTAGACCACTGCTTTAAGAAACCAATGCACAGAATGCCGTTCACAAAACCAAGAACATGTCTGAATCATGAAACTAACTGAGGAGTCTTTGAAACTAAATTTGGAGGAGAAAAAATGCATACCTTTTTATTATAAAAATGTTTAATATATATAGAGAAGAATATAATGAAGATCCATGACCATTCATCCCCAACAATTATTAACGTGTTGCCACATCTGCCTCATCTATTTTTTTCCTTTGAAGTATAATGTAGAATTTTTAAAAAAACAGGATACTAAGGCATAAGATGGAAGGAGTCAGAGTAAAATAATTTTCAGGAGAATGTAACAGGAGAATAGGGAACAATATTTATGGATTTAGAGAGTTATCTACCAAGGCAAAATATGAGTAATAAGCAGCTAAAATAGAAATTTTAGGTTTTTTAAAAACCATATCTCATTTCAGTACATATGGGAAAGCTCTACACCAAAATGTCAACAGAAAAGCCATGAAAAAAATGTACAGTAGGCATTTCCATTAATTTATAAGCAATTTGAGATATTATGAAGTAAAGTATGAGGGGATTTCATAAAAATGATAAATTTACTTATGTATGAAGAATCAAAATTAGTGTGATAATGCTCTATTATTGAAATAAAATGAAAACAAAACTTTATTTTCAAGCAGTTTCCATAAGTACTTAAGAATTTTTGAAAGCCTGAAAACTTAAATTATTATCTAAATGAGTGTGTCTTCCCACAAATAACAAATGCTGGTGAGGATGTGGAGAAAAGGGAACCCCTGTACACTGTTGGTGGGAATGTAAATTGGTGCAGCCACTATGGGAAACAGCATCGAGGTTCCTCAAAAAACTAAAAATAGAACCACCATATGATCCGGCAATTCCACTCCTGGGTATTTATCTGAAGAAAATGAAAACACTATTTCGAAAAGATACATGCACCCCCATGTTCACAGCAGCATTATTTACAATAGCAAAGCTATGGAAGCAACCTAAGCGTCAGTCAACTGATGAATGGATAGAGAAGATGTGATATACGTACACACACACACACACACACACACACACATACACACGACAGAATACTCAGCCATAAAAAAGAATGGAATTCTGCCATTTGCAACAACATGGATGGACCTACAGGGTATTATGCTTAGTGAAGTAAGTCACACAGAGAAAGACAAACACTATATGTTATCACTAATATGTGGAATCTAAAAAATAAAACACACAAACGAATATAACAGATCAGAAACTGACTTACAGATATAGAGAGCAAACTAGTAGTTACCAGTGGGGAGAGGGAAGGGAATGGGGTAGAATAGGGGTAGGGGATTAAGAAGTACAAACTACTACATATAAAATAAATAAGCTACAAGAATATATTGTACAGTACAGGGAATACAGCCAATATTTTATAATAACTTAATGGAGAATAATTAATAAAAATTTTGAATCACTGTTATACACCTGAAACTAATATTGTACATCAACTATACTCAATAAAAAAGTCATTTCTCATGACTTTCCCTCTAAAGCGCTCTTCATTATACCCTGGTACTTCTGCCAAATAGATTTATGAAAATGACATAACCAAAGTAAGTCTAACAAAAGTGAAAACAGAACTTGGGGGTAATAGGGCAAATTATATTTTCAATTACACATCTAAACTCCCCTTCTATTATCACACATTTAAAAAAATACTCTTCTGGGGGACACTGTAGCTTAAAACAAAAGGTTGTAGATCAGAAACCCTAGTGCTTTTCCCTGCTCTGCCACTAACTAGCACAGCGACCCCGGACAAGTTTACTTTTCCTATTTTAACTTCATTAAACCTCAGTTTCTCATCTGTAAAATGGGAATACAAACCATAGTATTAGTTAACATTTACTAGTACTTACCACATACTGTTAAACAGAACAGCAGGCATTTTTTGGAACAACTGCACGAGGCGGGTACTTACTCCATTTTACAAACCAGGAAACTGAGGCACGGTGCAATGTAATATATTCAACAATACATAATATATGTTAGAATCAGGACTGGAACCCAAGCAGTCTCACTTCAGAAAAGGCTGTACATTTCACTACTACTCATCCTATCTCCTTACCGCCTTAACAATAATGACAGCTTCTGGAAAGCACAGTGCAATGCTGTGCTAAACCGCGGAGGCAATATCTTAAAAAGTGAATTTATTCTCCCCTTTGCCTTGTCCTTCCTCTGGTGAAAATATCAACACAGGGAGGAAAGGTGGGCAGAGGAAGAAGCGAGAGAGCTAGGATTAGACATGTTTACTGCCAAATAACCTACTTCTTCAGAAGGCTGTTCATCTTTTCTCTTGGAATGCCTCATCAAAAAGTTTCATCTTTTGGGGTCTGAACAATAAAGGCCTACTAGGCACTCCACAGCGGTGAGGATGACGGCGAATTACAGGACTGGCCTACACAGGATAGTTACTTGAACAGCACCCCACAAGCTCCGGGGCGAGCCTCGGGGAAGCTAGCCGGGGAGTGAGGCCACAGAAGTTTGTCGAGTGTGCTGGAAGTTCACACCGCAGTTCTTCAGACTGCGAGTCCCGCCTGCCATGTTAGATGACAGGGCGCCCGCAAGGTCCCATTTCTAATGAGGGCCGGGCTCGCAGCAACCCCCTAAACTTCACAACGGGCTCGCGCGTCCACGTGAGCGTAGGTAATGGACCGGAAGCGCCCCCCACCAGCCAGGTTCCGCAGGGAGATCCGGGCAGCGCACTCGGAGATACCACCCCAGCCCGCCCCGCCCTCGAGAGCCGGGCCGCCGCCCCTCTGCCTCCCCGACTGCGGGCGCCGGAGGGGTGGGGCCGCCGCGACCTTCACCGCTCCGCGTCTGGGTTTTGGAGGGGGCAGGCGCGGGGAGGGAGTGCCCCGGTCCGGTGACTTGGGCACCTGCGCGCCCCCTCCGTTCCCGCCTCGTCCCCACCGGCCGCGGCGCCCCAGTTGAGGCCTGGAGTCCGGGGCCCAGCTCGGGCCTGCGCTCCGCCCGGCCTCTCGGGCCGCCACGGGGCGAGGAAGAGGAGACGGCGGCAGCTGCGCCGCTCCTGGCTCCTTACCGCTTCACCACGCCAGTTTTGATCTTGATCTGCCTCACGCGAGGATCGGCCATGGTCCCTCGAGCGCCGCGGGAATGAGTGGCGGAGAGCCGGGGTAACCGTTGAGGGAGACTAAGCGAAGGAAGCGGGTCTGTAGGCGTAGCCGGCGCGCCGCCTGGCGCGGGCCGGCGCGCATGCGCACACTCCGGCGCGGCCCCGGAGCCACGCTGGCGCTGCTGCCACACCCGCTGGGCGTGGGCCCAGGGTCGCGAGCCAAGGGCGGGTCACCACTCACCCACCTCCACCGAGTTTCCCGCTCGCAGAACCTGGCTTGTCTATCTCAAGTAGCCCTCCTTTTTATTCTTGAACAGCCCTCCTTTTAGTGTGAATACAAGTTACACTTTTCCTGGTCTCCACAGCCTGGGCGTTTGGGGAAACTTGTGTCTCCCCGGATAGACTGGTTTGGCCATGACATTGCTTTGCGAGATTATCCGCTGAAAGGACGGAGTGACCTAAAAACTGAAGATATTTTCGGTGTCATTATCTTATGTCAAATGGGGTAAAATGATGCAGGTTTAAAGAAATAAACTACCGTCATGCACGCAGTTAAGAAAATCCTTACCCTCCACCTCAGACCTCTGCAAACAATGTTTGTAGATAAATGCACCTAACAAAAAAACGACTATAGGACTTATTCAAAAATCATTACCTCTAGTAAATCTTAAATATCCAACTTACAAAAATTGTGTGGCATAAGAAAGCTTGGGCTTCGTGGTCAAACAAACCCACTGACCTTTGATATTAAAGGGGTTTTACCCTTTAATAGCTAACTGACACTGGGCACATAGGCCACTTAACCTCGCTGCTGAGGCTTTTGCCTTGTATGCAAAATAGAAATAATGTCCACTTTACAGAGTAGATATGAAGGTTAAAGCTCAATGCCTGACATAATACTCAACAGCTTTTGACTATTTTATATTTTCAAAAAATGTGTCTCTTGCATAAAATGAAACAAACCTCCAGTGAGCTCTGGCAACCTCTTTCCGGCGGAGTCCCCCAAGGAAAGCAGGGCAGAGCCTCCTTCCTTTTATAGTTTCTTGGTATCCTTCTTCAAAGGCCTCTCTTTACCCTTCCCTACACTTGATTCACTCCTTCTGGCTTTTGTGACTAGCTCTGGACAGTTCAAGACCCTGCCAGTTCAGGAACCTTAGTATAAATCCAAGATCAAAACCCACCTCCTGGAGAAAGTCTACCACGACTGACCCCTGCCCATTTAATGCTCCCTGGATACTTTGGAATCACCCAAAATTAATTTTTATTTTTGGTATATTTCTTTTTTAAAAAAACAAATTTATTTATTTATTGGCTGTGTTGGATCTTCGTTGCTGCATGCGGGCTTTCTCTAGTTGCGGCGAGCAGGGGCTACTCTCGCGGGCTTCTCATTGCGTTGGCTTCTCTTGTTGAGGAGCACAGGCTCTAGGGCACGTGGGCTTTAGAAGTTGTGGCACGCAGGCTCAGTAGTTGTGGTGCACGGGCTTAGCTGCTCCGCGGCATGTGGGATCTTCCCAGACCAGGGATCAAACCCGTGTCCCCTGCATTGGCAGGCGGATTCTTAACCACTGAGCCACCAGGGAAGCCCTATTTTTGGTGTATTTCTTTTAAAAACTATTGTTGAGTCCTTCACGAGGGTGTGCTCACTCTCTTCATTGGGTTATAAACATCTTTAGAGGCAAGAATCTTGTCTTCTATAAATCTTCCTCTCCTAACCTCCACCTGTGTTCTGTACACAGCAGGTGTTCAATTCAGTAAATACTGTCATCTGACTGGTTGGCACACTGAAATAAACTTCAGGTGACACAGCAGACCTATGAAATACTGGGGGGTGGCGGGGCGGGGGAGGTCAAAACAAAACAAAACAGAAAAACCAACAGACTCAACACAGCAAAATGCTACAAACAGGAATCCAGCAGATCATTAATATAAAGTTACTGGGCAACCTCTTAAGGCAAAGAAAAAACAGCAGTGAAACCCACACACCAAAAGATTGTGCTGATAGGGCTCTTGCTATTGTCAAGGATCTTCCTTTAGTCAGGCAACAAAAGCCTTGTAACTCTTCATACTTTCCTTTTGGCCTTGGTTTCCAGAACCTTAGAGCTTAGTTTTGCACTGATTTGCAGGATTTCCCTCAGCCTAGGTTTTTTGATGTAAATACCTAATATCTCCCCAAACCCCCAACTCTACCTCCACCCATTTGCTTTTCTTCTCTTTGTTTTAATGATTTCTATGTGTGAACCAGTAATAAATAAATGTAACATACCAGCCAAAAGACCTGTATATTTCTATATTTATATGAATGTCTATCCTACTGTATTCTTAGTTTCCTATTTAGAACCTCCCAGATGACTTATTTATTTATTTTATTTTATTTTATTTATTTTTATTTTTTTCTTTTGGTACGCGGGCCTCTCACTGTTGTGGCCTCTCCCGTTGCGGAGCACAGGCTCCGGGCGCACAGGCTCAGTGGCCATGGCTCATGGGCCCAGCTGCTCCGCGGCATGTGGGATCTTCCCGAACAGGGGCACGACCCCGTGTCCCCTGCACCGGCAGGCAGACTCTCAACCACTGTGCCACCAGGGAAGCCCTGACTTATTTATTTAACAAACACTTTGTATGGGGCTTAATAAGGGATACCACTGTATCCCAGCATATAGCAATGCCTGGCATATAGTCAGTACTCAATAAATATTTCTTGAATGAATAAATGCTGCTTTAAAACTCTTTTTTTCCATTTAACAATATGTCATGGAGCCTTCTCATTTCAGCAAAAGAGCTACTAAGATAATCTGAAATATCCTATCACCCCCCGCCCCATACACACACATACCATTTTTCTCTGGGCCTTGCTCCTTTGGGTCTGGACTTTGAGGAGGTAAACCAACAAGCGGTCATTTTTGTTAGTATGGGAGAGGAGGGCTAACTGTAAGGAGGCCTGCAACATCTAGGCAGGGAGATGCCCTAGGGTATTTGGAATAGAAACTATGTAAGCTGCATTTCTCACTGTTTGACACTCTTCTGTTCTGTTATCCATAAATCTTAATTGAGTTCTGTTTAAGTATTCCAGCCTGGCCTCAGGTGACCTATAGGAATGACTCTGTAGGGGACTCTCTAAGGGATAAGTTTATTAACATTTGAGATTGAGGGTTAAAGAGATCTGAGAGATCCTCAGGACTGGGTGAATCTAGTAGAACAAGAGGAAAGTCTAGCCATCTCATCTGTGAGTGGCAATTCTCCATTGCTAATAATCTTAGAGGGTTGAGGTAATATTTTATTAAAGAATGCTGCAGATTCCCTTACAAATACAGGTTGTTTTCCCCACACACTTACAGAGCTATAAATTTAGTCTCACCATCCCTTCATGTCATTCTCTTCCAATTGACTCCAAGCTCCTCAAGATTAGAGACCACATCACATTCATCTTAGTCTCCCCAGCAGGAAGCTTAATGCCTAATGGCAAGTAGATGCACAGTATTTCCTGAGTTAAATAAAAGTCAAATATGGGACTGAGATAGATTTCTAATTTTGATGAAAGCAAGAGACCGGCCATGTTTTTATCAACAGTACTTCTTTGTTTAAGTAATCTCTCCAGGGTGTCTTCTCCAGCTGGCCATCTTGTTTTATGAAATGAAATTACAACATCAGAGCAACTGCACACTAGGCCCCATAGCCCTAATAAATGTTGTTTTAAGCCACTAACTTTGAGGTAATTAATTCATTATGCATCCATAGATAACTAGTACAAAGGTTATGCATGGGCTCCTTTTCATCAAGGCTGATCTAGCTACTACTACTGCTGAATAGCTAACATGCCGGCAGTAAAGACCAATTTTGACCTCTTAATATGGCACCATTCCAAGAGAAGATTATTTGGTGGCAGCTTGATTATCTGGTGGACCCCTTCCACCCTGGAAAGTACAGTGTGGCAGCCATGGGATTATACCACTCAGGTCTACCTTCAAGAGAAACTTCTGTGGGGAGCATAGTTGACTGTCAGCCTTAAAGTTCCACAACTTTGGATTCACATATTTACCCCAAGTCCATACTTCCATCCCAGCCAATTATTGAGCTAGTAGAGGTACTAAAGCCAGATGATTCCTCTATGAGAAACCTTTACTTGGGAACTCCCTATCAACCTTGTCAAGATTTTATAAGAACTGCATTGCAGTCTGAAGCTTTTTCTACCCAATCTTTCCTTCCTCTTTCTTATTACAGGTGTCAGACCACCTGCTTTGCAGTCTGAAGGTTCTCCCTGCCACTTCTGCTCTCTCCCACCACATTTTTCACAGATGCTTACTCCAATAAATTCTTGTGTGTCTAATTCCTATCTTGGCATCTGCTTCTTGAAGGGTCTAAAATGACACAGGCAATGATTTATCCTTATCAGAATTGACATCTATTCCAGATATGGATTTGTTTAATGACATGGTAAATTCATGACTCAACATTGCCTAAGATCAAAGGAAATGTAACAATGAGATCACAGAATCCACTGGTCTTATCATATGCCTCATCACCTAGAAGCAACCAGCTTAATAGAAAATAGAATGGCCTGTTAAAGACTCAGCTAAAGTGACAATTCAGGGATAGTACACTTGGGATTGGGGCACCATTCTCCAGGATACGATATATGTACTGAACTAATAGCTGACATATTGTCTCTCAATACATAGAATACATGGAATGGAACCAAGAAACCAAAGGATGGAAATAGGATAGGGACCTTTCACCATCACATCCAGTAATCCACTTGTGGAATTTCTTCTTACAGTAATCCATGCCACCTTAGACTCTGTTAGATTAGAGGCCCTAGTTCCACGGAGAATGCTTCTATGATAGGCAATAGCAAAAATTACATTGCACCTGAAGCTATGCCTACTATTTGATTGCTTTGGACTTTTCATATGAGTGGATCATCACGCAAAAAAAGAACTTACTAGTAGTGGAACTTGATCCCAAATTCCATAACGAGCAAGGGTTGCAACTTCACATGATGCAGAGAAGAGTGTCTGGAATTTAGGGCATTCATTAGGAGTGTTGCTGTAAGTCACTAAGTTTGTGGTGATTTGTTACAGCAGCAAGAGGAAACTAAAACACCCACTGTGGACTGATGTCACCTCCTGTGGCCCAGCCTTCT